CTGGAAGCGATGCTGCTGCTGAACGCTGCTGCTGCATGCATGCTGCATGCACAGTGCTGTGTACTATTGCAACCTCCTTTCCAATGCTCGTGCACAACTGCAGATTTTGAGCGTGCACCCTTTACAGAAACGCAACTGCAAGCTGCCCGTGCTATGTTGCAGCGGCCAACCCTGCACATGCAGCTATAAATACACGTGCACCGTGCCGGCCTCCTTGCTCATTGCACGCACGTCCAGGGGGATCCGTGCGTGCCGCTTGCATCCTGCAGATGTGCAGGGCTGCTGTGCTTCGCCATAGCATCGTTGCTGTGCAGCTGTTGTACCACACGGTACTCTATAGTGCTGCGCCGCTTCACCGTAACATGCTGTCCAGAGTGAGCGCCAGACACTGCGCTGGCTACATCTGCACGCATGCCGCACACGTGTTGGCTTGTTAGGCTTGAGTGCAACACGCATGCACGGGGAACGCCTGATTTCATGGTCCATAACATTGCTTGTCAAGGATAATGGGATACATTTTTTTTCCGCCCCACATTTTTAATCATGGACACCGTGAGTCAGGGTAGAGGGGGAGACGTACCGTTATGCTTGGGTTTCAAACTGGAATTGCAACAAAATAATATTTCACAATATAATTTTTTGGGGGGGAAGAAAAGTGTGGGGTATTTTTGTTGGCTTCGTTTCTTCTTATTCTTAATTATCGACCTTGCAATGATATATCTTGACTTAAAGCTTTCGTGACTGCAGGAATTCATATTCTTGGGTCTTTCGGTAAAGTCACGTAGATCGGTTCAAAGAAAATAATATTTGAACCTATCTACGTGACTTTACCGCAAGACCCAAGATTATATAATAGTAAGATATGTTTTACACTTTGTAAAATATACTACGTCGGACGAGGCTTGGCGAGAATAATCTCGCTGTTGGTTATGTAACAGGCACGTTACCGAAATGGCAAAGAGGGTGGGAGTTGTTCTCCGAGGCTAAGAGGCTGGCCACTCCTCCCTGAAATTCATCTCTTGACACAGCAAACGCAGTGGACTTGGAATGCAGAGAAACGCCGGTTCTCTCTCCCAGCGCGGTGGTTTGGACAACTAGGTCCTCGCACGCTGACGAATGTGCGGACGGCTAAATAAGTTCGTGCAACACAGATTGGACGCGATTGTGATTGGGCATCGGATTTCGCCAAGTCCGTCCAAAAAAAACGATTGTTGCGACCGTAACTGGACGGCATTAGCTTAAATGAACTAAAAGTTTGCCGTGTGTCATTAAAACAAATTGTACACAGGCAAGTGATGTATAATACTGCATTAGCATATCTCAGCATTGTTTCTTTTTGTTACAATGAAAATCTAAACTGTAGCCCGTATCTGAATACAAATCACAGTATCTCCACGAAATGGCATTTATCGATCTGGTCTCATTATTGCAATCAAAGCGCGGAAGGAATATCTGCTCGTTATTACTTTTTCTGCTTTTGCACTCTTTAATTTGCAATCGGCAAGTGAGGCGAGCAATCGTGGTTTTCCATAGATTTCCAATGGGAAAACCAAGACTGTAAGCTTCTGGTCGACTTGGGTGTTTTTTTTCTTCTTCCAAAATGACCATCGTGTTTGCAATTGTTACGTCTCCACACGGCGGCGTGCAGCGACCTCCTAGAGCGAGCGCTCTCGTCACGTTCCATGCTGTGAACCTTATAAAGCCCCGACCCTTCACCTCTGCCATCGTGGAAATCTAAAAAAATTATGATTTTTTTATACCAGGTAAGGCCCACTGAGGCGTGTAGCTGTTTCTTTAGAAGCGACCTGGTTATCACAAGTGATAACTCAACGAAGTGGCTTATGACGTGGAAATATACAGCAGCCAAATGCTCTCTCAACGCATGTTTCAAATATGCAGCAGGTGTCAGGGTCGGGATTGAACCCACTGCCTCCTGTATACCAGGCAAGGTAGTTAACATCTTGCATCCCTCCTGCGCGTTACATTTAAGGATGGCGTGAAAGGGGTTTGGCATGCTCTTCATTTCCGCCGTGATTTGTCCGTGATTTCCCTTCGGCTGCACATTCATGGCCAGGCGTGGGATGTGGTATCAACGGAACGTAGAGGAAGTCTTTTCCAGTTGGGCCTCTTTTTTAAAATGAATAATGGAGTCCCGTGATGAATTACTCCTGGTGCGCAAATAACAGCACTTTGCAGTTATTTGCCCAACAGGATCCATTGCACTCCGCAGATAACAAGAGTTGTGGATACAAGGGTCGTAGATAGGAGGCATTCCACTGGAGTTAAAGTAATTTACAGTAACATTTCAGTATGGGTTTCTAAATAATATTGACATGGTCACAGAGGGTGTTCGTTTTAAGGGTCTCGAGTGTGTTAAGACTATAGTGTAAATGAAGTGCCCTGTGTGTGTGATTTACATAGAAGCTTGCAATAATTTTCCCTCCCCCACAGTACTTTGTGTGTCCTTTCATGCGCTGCTTTTGTTTAATTTGAAGTAAACTTCCGTGAGAACGTTTGACGAGTCTTGTTTTTCTCGTGGTAGCAGCAAGTGGCTATCTAGCACGGTATCCGGCACCACTGCACATGCCTTACCAGTCTTCTCCACCGCTGCTCTTGCTAAACAAACAAAAAATAGATAACACTGGCCATCCAAATGGCTCTGAAGGTCAAAAGCATACCACTCATTGCTGGGATAGAACTTGAGGACACCTCATCACGCTGGTGTGTACGCTTAGCTGTGAGGCTCCAGGGTTAGCTAATGTGTGCACAACGTGACTGGCCCGTGATATAAGATTGCTCAAGCAGGCCGTTCGAGTTGTATCGCACACATACACAAGACAAAGCTCCCCGTATAGCCTTAGCAGACTGTTGGGGCAAGTGCTGTTAGCAAGTAGCACCTTGGAAGGCCGGCACGGCACACGAGGGCGCGGGTGGCCAGCGCCACGCCGGGCCGCCTTTGTCTCCCCCAGTGGCGATGTTTACACACTGCACCAGATACTCATTTGAGGCTGAGACGACCTAGGGGAGGCCCAGGACCGGTTCAGATAATCGTCACTGGTGTTGGCCGTGAGCGGGAATCGAATCAGGGTTGCTGGATTCGTAACGCAGCATAGTGCTAACCGTTGCACCACCACTCCACACGCATACACACATGTACAAACTCACTCCTCCACAATGCTTCCAATTTTCCTGGGGACTTGGAGCCCTGCTGGCCCCGCAGTTATCTACTTAGCCTCTTCATTTTCTTCCTTACGATGAACGGAGGGACGGTGTTTGTTTTTACTCTTCCCATTGAGCCGAGTAGCAGGGGTGGTTGCTCTGCTTCTGAGCATCTCATTTGGCATTCCCAGCCAACTGCTAACGCCGCCGGTGTAGCAATCCCAGAATATTGAGGCAGGGTCCATTACAGATGTAGCATTCCTAGAATGATGAGGCAGGGTACATCCCAGATGTAGCATTCCCAGAATGATGAGGCAGGGTCCATCCCAGATGTAGCATTCCCAGAATGATGAGGCAGGGTCCATCCCAGATGTAGCATTCCTAGAATGATGAGGCAGGGTCCATCCCAGATGTAGAATTCCTAGAATGATGAGGCAGGGTCTATCCCAGATGTAGCATTCCCAGAATGATGAGGCAGGGTCCATCCCAGATGTAGAATTCCTAGAATGATGAGGCAAGGTCCATCCCAGATGTAGCATTCCCAGAATGATGAGGCAGGGTCCATCCCAGATGTAGAATTCCTAGAATGATGAGGCAGGGTCCATCCCAGATTTAGAATTCCTAGAATGATGGGACAGGGTCCATCCCAGATGTAGCATTCCCAGAATGATGAGGCAGGGTCCATCTGTTGTATACGGCCCTTTTTCAACACATCCCAGATGTAGAATTCCTAGATTGATGAGGCAGGGTCCATCCCAGATGCAGTATTCCTAGAATGATGAGGCAGGGTCCATCCCAGATTTAGAATTCCTAGAATGATTGGACAGGGTCCATTACAGATGTAGAAATTCTATAATGATGAGATAGGGTCCATTACAGATGCCACACATTTATTTAAAATGTCTGTAACAATAAAAGATGAACCCGTTTATGTTCATCTCGCTACAGAGCACACTGCGCACTACCAATGGCTTCCATGCTTCACTCCGAGGGTGCCTCCTGCTGCCAAACCACATTGAACACTGTTTAAACGCACAGTGTTCACCAGTAATAAGTGATAACCACTGTAAGCGAATAATTCCTGAATTATTCCCTTAAAGTGCTTAAAAGTGGTGGGCATTGTTATTATTATGATGGCTTGCCATGTTACACCGCTATATATATAACAAAAATTTTTTTAATCGAGTCTAAAGTAAGTGCCAACATCATTGCTGGCGAGCTAATGCTAATAACGCGTACTACCCAGGAGTATAGAGTTTAAATGGGGAATCCTTGTTGTCTTTCAATGGATGTCATAATAGCAGTTGCCTAAAGGCACGTTTTCAATAAGTAAAGCATAATGCTGTTTATAACATTTTTTTAAAACGTAAGGGACTGCTTTGGCAGTGGTGTATAAAAAAAATATGCTGATAAAAACTATACAACGCCTGGCATTAATACCTCAGTCTATAATAATCACGTGGAAACTGATATAGTTGGAAGTTTCTCTCTTCAGATTGCAGAGAAAGGGAAACCACTGTGACCATTTTGACTTTCAATGAAATGGAAACTTTCCTTGAATAAGACCCGAAATACTATTGTATTATGCCTGACGTGTTTGTTTTTAAGAAGGGTCGTAGCCCAGAAGGTTATATTATTTAATAACAAGTGAGGTAGTGATTTATTTATATGCCATGCACTTGTCATATATATGATGTAACATTGTTATGTAGAGATGCGCTAATTTCCGTCATGTGACCTGTACCTAAATATTAACGTGATCTGTAGGGTGTCCTTCATACATTTGTACGAGTGACATTTCTGACTTTTTCTGCTGATCTGTTTCTCTCTTTTTTATCCAGTTGAACCTACGGATTACTTCAGGTAAATATTAATGTCCATTAACAAACCATCCCCGGTGTTTCTTACGCATCCACCTTAGAACCAAATCGCCAATCACCGAATTGTTTATTTTCCCCTCTTTACCCTCCGATACCTTTGACATCTTCGGTCGTTTTCACGCCGTCTCTTCTGTCTCTTCCCACCTTTTCCTCGTGTTTTGTTCCCCGAGTTCAGCGTGTTCTGTCTTTCGTTTGACAGTCTTCCCTTTAAATAGCTCCCTCTTTTATTTGCTTAACGTCCCTCTTTGCGGTTTCAAGATAACTTGTTATCTTTTTCGCTTCTTTGTCCCATATGTTCAGTGCATCGTCCATTAGAGGTGGTAGTTCATTTTTTTTAATGGAAATCAATTGAATCTTTTTTTTTGTCAAGGAATTTACATTTATTGCTTAAAAGCAGTATAAATTATCCTGCCTCTTGAAGACGATTTTTGATGTTAGCTATCTCGGTTTGTCCTTGTTATTAGTGGCAACGTTCAAGTGTACATTGCATCTTACCAGCCGGCGATTACTTTCATGTGTGTTGAATTTGCTGAGGATAAAAAACATATCTAACAATCCGGGGTTGTCCGTCAGAATTGCCAATATAATTTATAGCTTTTCCACTTCTGCCTCCATTTTCGTTTTTGAGACCGCACTCTGCAGTGAAGACTTTTAACCTTAATATCCACTACAGAATGCATTACATCATGTATGGATGTGGTGGGTATGAGTAATACACAATAGGATACAGTAGCGTATACTGTGCATACAATACCAGGTGCTGCCGTTAGATTTATACTTGGCAGTGGGCCAATCTGGGAGTGACATTTCTACAGAAACTGTGATGGTTGGATTGCTATAATAAAGCATCTCCATACTGATTATGGCACATATTCTTTGGGTCTTTCGGTAAAGTCACGTAGATAGGTTGAAATAAAATAACAAAAAAGAGGGGGACAGCTTTTTCTTTCCTGATAACGAACGCTTGTGTTGCGATCTTAAACGTCGTAGTTTTTTTGTTAGTTTTTGTTATTTTCTTTGCACCTATCTACGTGACTTTACCGAAAGAGCCAATGAATATGAATTCCTGCAGTCACGAAAACTTCAAGTCAAGATTATGGCACCGAATAGCGGCAGGGACGTGGAGTTGGCAAACTAACTGTGGCCTACTCCTCGCCTGCCCTACAAGTTGTTTATTTATTGAGGCTTTTTCAGTAAGAGAGTCAATTATTGAATTCATACTCAATTTGAAAACTCAATACTTACAACAACAAAAAACATCTCACCAAATTACAACGTTCATCTATCATTTTATAGATGTCTGTGACGGCTACTACTAAACACGTTGAAGAATTCAATAAAAAAAATGGACGCACATACTTATATGCTTTGGACATGCGTTGTGCCATATAAAAACACATTTTAACATGTTGAGTTCAGGCACTTACAATATACGTCTATCTTTTGACCTATTACTCATTTCCAATATATTTAAACGTTTGCTTTTAAAAACAACCCCCCCCCCCCCCCCCCCGAGTGCGTGATGGTGATAAGGCTGCGTGAGTAAGTTCCAACATGATTGGATACAAATGGTCACTTACAGCTGGCTTTAAAATGGTCACATTTTAGTTTATGGTAAACGTAAACCGGCAAGATGCTGTGTAATTACATCCAAAAACTTTAATACGAATAGTAATGTTGTTTATGTGTGGTTAATCAACGTGTCCACTTAATTCTGTCCATATATTACTGCGGTACCAACAACAAAGAAAATGCTATTGAAAGTCCGTCCTGTGTCAGATCCATTCGCGAATTTGCCACATTAACCGGTTCCATCTGCCGCACCGTTCATGGTTACTGGCACCTCTGATTAGCGCTGTTGGCTACGTACGGTGCGCACAAAGTTCAACATACGTACGTACTGACACAGAATGCGTTGCACATGCTTGTAATTTCTTTCTGTTTCCTCAGCTGTCCACCGTACAACTGTGATACAGGAGGGCACCTTGGTGGGAAATTGTTTTCCAGACACAGAAGGTATGACATTGAATTGAAGCCACCATGACCAAAATGATACTGAAATATCTACCCATATACGTACAGTATATTAATAAAACACTGTACGACAGAGTTTTCATTTAAACCACTGTAAAACAAAATGATAGACAAATATAACAATGTGTTATCAAGTTGAATCTGATATTACTTATCCACTGATTATGAAAAATAAATTATGGATAATATTTGGGTTAGCAAGCGTTAAGGGTGTTTTAGTCTGGTACAGAAAAACTAAGCTGTGGTGGTCACTTAACTAGTTGGGCAATGTGGCAGACCATCCGATTCACGATGATAAGTTTGTAAGTTGCAATCCCAGTTGGGAGTATACTGTACCCATGATCTTTCCAGATTTGCTAAATTGAATAACAATATGAGAAGCCAGAAGTAATTTTCCTATGGCATAGATGATGAAGCCCGTGACCACAAGTTGCACTTTTAAAAGCATAAAAGTGCAACTTGTAGTGCTGCCCCTTTGATCAACAATAAAGAGGACCGGTGGCAAATTTTATCTCTGAAAATCAGGGTCAGATTTGGCAATTTAGCGAGTGTTTCTGTGATGTCCCAGTGGAAAGGGAGGCCCGAGGCTCACACACATCATTGGGCAAAGGGAGAGATGACGTTGCCAGAGTTGCAGGGCCTCATTGGGTAGAAGACATAGGCACAATCCCTGTGCATTCGAGACAAATGTGTCCTCTGTCAAGGACGCGTGGAGTGTGACCGGATAAACTAACAGGCGTGGATGACCTCTGTGGCGAGCTGCTTATGGAGGGGAGTGATAATAACAACGGGTGAGCCGCTCTGCATGACGTCAACGCAACTCCCTTGGACAACGGGACGTGTTATGTACGCGAGGGCTATTAAGATTTCCGTGGTGGTCTCAAATTATAAGAGTAACCAAGGTTGCACCGATTGTAACGCATATTGGGGAATCTCTCTTCTCGTCATACTGGGTAAGGTGCTGGCGGAGGATTATTCAACATAATTTTGTGAGGCATGCTGAGAATCTTGCTGAATCCCATTGTGGGTTCAGCCAAAGGATGCCCTCCCACTGGTTAACCATATTGACTCCCTGCGTGCAATGTACACTCATGACCTGATGATTACTGCACATGCTATCAAGTTAGAGAAACCCTGCTGTTGAACCTGGAGCTTGATTCAATGAGGTGGGATGTTACCATCAGCCCTACGAAATCCAATCACTTCACCAGACACACTCGCCGTGTTATTCCACCCGCCTCTTATTAAGGGGAGGCGGCTGTTTAGAGGGTCAAGGACTTCTTTTGCACCTTGCAGGATGTTCGTGGGCAACTGGAATTTGGAAGCAGATATCTCGATCTGAATAATCGCACAGAATGGCTGCGTGATCCAGGTTTATTTATTGGTTTAGCGACGTGTTGGTGGCTTTATACTGAAATTAATGTCATGAACCCTCTAACGCCCACAACAAGGTTGTTACGTTTACAAAGATGTCATTCATACTTGGCCAGCGTTTTGATGATCAGATTGTGACTGATGAAGCTCCTCCTCGTTTCGAGCTTCATCAGGCGGTCGGCTCGGACATCGAGCGTGGCCCCTTCACCTCACTCTGTGCTCGAATATCCAGCCCCTGAAATCAGAATCAGAATATTTATTTGTACTGGAGGAAATCCGATGAGCTATGAAGCTCTTTTTCACACATGTCCGGTCGACCAATCGCCACATCGTTGGTCGCTCTTTGTATTTCGATCTAGCTCATTATAATGTTAATTATCTCCGATAGCTTAAAAGAGAACATTGTAAATGGTCTTCAACGGACTGCTATTTCAATGGGCTACTTTTACATCCGTTAATACATTCAAATATGTTTTCTTCAAATAAGTCAATTTGATTTCAAATGACTTCATTTGAAATGGATGCCTGTTGAGCTCTCGTGCCATTACGCTTGAGTGGTTATCGAGTCATTGTTTTTACAATTTACTTGTCAGGTTACATATATATTAGTTGCATTGGTTCTGTTGGTTTATAATTGAGTGCAGTTTGTAGTGTAGTTTTATATTTACTTATTATTGATGTGTTACCAAGCAGCGTTTCGTTTTTTCTTGGTTCTTTCGGTAAAGTCACGTAGAATGGAAATACAATAATAACAATAAAACATAACAAAGTAAAATTCTCACGACGTTTCGGCCACTACACAAGTAGCCTTCTTCAGGTGAAGAAACAGGTCTGTCCAGAAGGCAGCGCTTGAGTGAACGCTGCCAAGCAAGGACCGCGTCTCTTTAAAGGTGTGTGGGCGGAGTAAACATGTGAATTAGTATATTACCCAGCCCCCACCTCAGGAGCGGAGGAGGGTGGTGGCTGGGCACAGGAAAACACCAAAGCAGAGCAACCAAGGTGCGTTGCTCTGTCCTGTGCTGCACCATAACCATGTTATAAACTGGACTACTATACAATATTATACCTTCCAATCTAAACTACATGGTATAATATCATATCCATAGACAAATTCCACCTTTGAATTATACAGTGCGTTACTTTACACTACCCTATACTTTAGACTATAAAATATTAGACTTGTAACATTACACTATGTCTTATTCTATGAACCCAACTATATGCAATTGCATAGTGAATATACAGTAGTGTCTTTCAAGATGTATATATTTAACCGTAAGTGATTAAAAGGTATCAGTTAATGCATTGTTTTGTTTTAGAGGTCCTCGTGGTCTGTCGTGGCTTAAATTATTTATATATATTGCAATGCTTGCTGGACACATTGCATTTCTGCCTCCGAAGCGCTCCGCATCGGAGGCTGTTCTTGCTCGGTGCAGAAGCGTCTTCGTGAGGTTAGTCCGTCCGTTGTGGATGGTGGTGCGAATTCTCTCGTCGGTCCACATCAGTGTGAGTGTTCTGCCTGTGCGCACCGTGTGTGCCATTCTCCACTGAGGTTTGTGCTCAATTGGTACATCAAAGAAGGGGAGTTTACCACTTCCTTTCACTTCCACGGTGAAGTTAATTGCTGGGTGTCAAGAAATGTTCTAAATGTACCGCGCGTGCGTGTCCCCATGTGGTCAGACAACTCAGTGTGTCATCTGAAAGTAGCCCGTTGAAGTCCATTGAAGCACGTTCGAAATGAATTTCATTGAAGTTGTTCGAGATCATGTACGTATTAAAAGCATCCAAGCCAGAATTAAAAAGGAGCGGGGGTGACCCCCCCCCCCCCCCCACACGTAGCGACAGTTGGTGACGTCAGGGAGGATTCTCGAACACCGACGAAGCTCAAAGCCGTTGGAGAGAAACGTCGCCGATCGTTGGGGTCCGGTTTAGTCACGAAAAGTCGGAATGCCTCCAGCGAGGAGGAGCTTTATCGGTCACAATCTCATCATCAGCACACTGGGCACCAATACGTAAGATATCTGTAAACGTGACAATCTTGTAGGGTGGTGGAGGGTTCATGACAAGGATGTCGGCATAAATTCACCACCACCACGTGGCCGATCCCCAAAACAAATATGGGCCATTGCTGCATTGGGTACGAAAAACCCTCGAGTTGAGTGTGATTGTGAGCCGGTTGGGCACGAGGAGATGACGTGGGCACGAGGAGGTGACGTGCCTGAGAGGACGGTTGGCTACGTACGGTGTGAAAGAAGTTCAACGTACATGAAATGAACGTTGGCTAGGACAAATTGCTTTTGAAAATCGCTCTTAGGAAGATTAGTTACAGAAATATTAAAACGAATGTAAGATCATTAGTATGTAAACAGGCAAGGATATATGTAGTTAATTAAACTTCTGTGTAATTTTACTTATTTAACAATGAATTATATCTTCATGGGCTTTCTATATATAACAATACGTATATACACATTTTTTTTGTAATATGCCTCATAGTATTTTATATTTCTTTGGACAGGAATAATCAACATCCTTTATGCAGCCAAAATAATCCATTACGATTCCCGAGCAGCTGTTCTGCGCAAAGAAATGGCCAAATATTAACTTACACAGTCCCATCATGTAGTGCAGTACGACGTTGCATATCGTTGCAAACAAATGATAGTTCAACTTTGGGGTACAATTTCGGAGCGCCACAGCGGTGAGATGTTAACTACCTCGCTCGGTATACAGGAGGTCATGGGTTCGATCCCAACCTTGACGCCTGCTGTGTATTTGGAGTCTGCATGTCTCTCTGTCTCTTTCATCATCATGGTGGCTATGAGATGTTAACTACCTCGCCCGGTATACAGGAGGTCGTGGGTTCGATCTCAACCTTGATGCCTGCTGTGTATTTGGAGTTTGCGTGTCTCTCTCTCTCTCATCATCATGGTGGCTATGAGATGTTAACTACCTCGCCTGGTATACAGGAGGTCGTGGGTTCGATCCCAACCTTGACGCCTGCTGCTGTGTATTTGGAGTTTGCGTGATCTCTCTCTCTCTCCTTGTGGTCGCGTGGACTTTTCTCCGGGTTCTCCGGGTTTTCTCACCACATTAAGAATCAACATCGCCACGCGTTTAGAGTGTTTGGCCGCTATCAATTTCCACGTGATGGTAAGCAGCTTCATTGAGCCATCATTTTTGGCCAGGTTGCTTCTGAAAAAGAGCTATATAGCTCAGTAGGTCTTACCGAGTAAAATAGAAATAGCGAACTTAGCTTAGCAATAGGACACCATTGCAGCAACTTTGTGTATTTACCAACAGGCCAGAAACCGTCTCTTTTGCATGGAGACCAAGGATGTGAGAGTAGTTACCGGAGGACGGCCATTTCGTTGAATAATTAAGTCAGAGTAACAGCTTCATCAATTTATAATTTGAGCTTCAACACCATTCCACAATCAACGGCCTCCCCTCAAAAGCCAGGCGCCGCCGCCGCAGCAGCAGCAGAGGCCGTTTTGGTAAATCTCCGACAATGCCACCGATGTGGGTGACGGTGACGCTCCGAGTGAGCTGGGCTCGAACGCGGCGCCCACGGAGGTGACAGCGCAGAAAGCGAATTCCCAAAAAAG